GAGCAAGCTGTTATTCATTCCATGTTTTTCCCCTTGTTAATGTGAAAGTTCTACCATATCCATCCACTGCACTAATGTTTACCATCTTTTACCATCTTCTGTAATCAAACAGATATGTTCCAAATATTTCTTGCATTCTGGCACACTATTTCCCAGCTTTAACATTCCACTCATCCCCGCTTCCTCAAACTCAAATAAGAACCTTAAAATACTTTGTTACCTTCTTCATCTCATTTTTCCTCTCTCCTCTCAGACTTTTGAACTATTTTGCCATACACACTCAGCAACTCCTAGGTTTTGTTGAGATAATTTAGAATCTATCAGCATTGTCTTCTATTTCAAGAGTCCTTCATTAGCTATTATATTGTATAACCCAGAACTATGTAATGTGTATGTACGTATATGTGCATGTGTATGCGTGCGTTCACGTGTGAATTCATAGTTCCAAAGTTTCACTGATAACAACTGTTTCCCTTCTCTTTTTTCCCCCTTGTTGAGGTGTCCCTTTTCATTTTTGTTTGGTCTAGGCTTTCCTCAAATATTTTCCATCGAAGGGGTATATAGGTGATATATTTCTAAGCATGTCCTTGAACATCTTCCTTTGCTCCACCAGTAAATGATATCCTGGCTTCTTAAGAATGCAGGGGTGGTAGTCTTTTTCTCTCAGTAGGCTGATGACGAGTCCCATGCCAATCAGAGATATTTTTCCTTGTAAGTAACTTGTTCTCAGGTGCTGCAGATGTGCAGTTGGTGGACGGAGTCCACCCAAAGTGTAAGTCACTAGGGGGTGCATTGTCAATAGAGAAATTTTAAATCAATAATAAAACCAACTAAGTCAGGCTGCTTTTTTCATCACCATGCACCAGCAATTCTAAATAATGTAAGTGATAAAATACTCCTCCTCAAAAAAAAATATCTACATTCTAAACAATTCCTGTGGTTAGTGTTGAATTTTAACAATATATATGTAGGCTTCAAGTTAGCACATTTTAATTACTTACTTTTAGTAAACAGTGTACTCTACAAAGAAGAATCAATCCTAAAATAACAAAGCTATTGGCAGTATTGCAATTCCTAGAATTTATTGTGAAAGAGGAGTTTTATGTATCTCTGTTTATTAAACACAAATATACAGCAAAGATCAGTTTGAGAATGTCATTGACAAATCCTCAAACACTAAAGCTTACAAATAAAAATTGTACTTCATTTCTGTGATAGACTAATAGATATAGTATGCATGTTTTATTCCTTTGTTAAAAAACACATTAATTAAATGTTATTAACCTATAACTCGTTTCATTTTTGGTACTGTAATGTTTACTTTTATTTTTTGTTTATATGTTCATATATGCACAAAATTCTATCAAAGATCATTTTCACTGTCTGTGTTTCTTTTCTGGCCATTATTATTTGTCTCATTCAGTAATTAGTATTTAAAATAATATTGTCATATAGAGGAGAGGGGTATTAAGAAAACTATCTGCTCTGGGTTTCAAATACATTAAGTACACCACTGCCTGTTCTTTCTGTTTGGAAACAGTGGACAGTGTTTTCACCGGATATTCCCGTATCTGTGTTTTTTTGCATCAATCAAGGCTGGACCACTGTGGACACTTTCAATTGGCAGATACTTGTGTTTCTCCATTCCACAGAATTTTTTTCCCCTATTGTTTGTTGGATTACAGGTTGTCCATCTGCTCCTTCTCCTCTGTACGGAATTTCTCTTATTAGCACCTTGGTCTCCCCGGTATATTCTCCAGATCGCTTACGTCAGCTCTCATGATGGCGGTCTCATTTTTTTCTGTACTTTGAGCTATTTCTTGCATCTGATTTTCCAAGTCATTAATTCAAGTCTCAAATGACTATCACATCCTCTAATTCTCCATTGAATTTATAGTTCAAATTACAATTTTTATAATTCAAGTTTGAAAGCCTTTTTTATGTGTATGTAGCACTTAGATCTCGAGTACTATTATATTTATTATTATTATTACTATTATTTTATTTAAGTATTTTTCTGCCTCTAGCAGTTCTTTTTCACTAAGCTTGTGTTTTCATTTTTGAGTAGATCTTCCCTTCTCTGGCTGCTAGGCTTCCTTAGGTGGGTAGTCATTTTTCTTTGTTGGCTCATTGGGGTTTATATCTGGTTTTTGGTGTGTTAAGTGTTGGAAACCCTGTAGCTGGAAGGCAAAGTGGCCTCTAGGCTACAAGCCTGAGCTGTGGAAGCCAGCAGGCTGACATTCCCCTGCAGCAACAATTGGAAAAAGCCCTCAGAAAACTGGACTTCAAGGGCAGGGAATTCAGTAATCCTGCTCAGCTCCATCTTGGACTTTAGGAGTCAGAAAGGTCCAGTGAAGTCCAATATCAACTTCATCCTTGGGAATCACAAGTCTGTGTTTGTTCTTCCCAAGGTTGCTGGTTGTCTCCAGGTTCTTGCCTCCTGAGTCTGAGCTCAGGCTCTCCCCAAGCTCTCAGTGGAGAAAGCACCACACCACCCTCACCTTCTCTTTAGTTGGGGACCTAAACAGAGCTCCAGGCCTCACCTATGGTCAGCTGCTTATTAGTACAGTTTCCCTTGATTCAGGAGAGGCAAGAAACACCTGGAGATGGGAGCAGAGAGTAAACGTATAGAATTCAGACTGCTCTGATCCCAGAAACACCTTTGAAGATTATTTTAGGAATTGTATCTATTATCTTTAACTTAAATGAGAATTTCATAAAAGAGAAAAGTAGCTCTCTATAGCCATGACATGTGTAGGGATAAATAGGTTACCAAGAATAGACACTTCCTAAGAACAGAGAAATACAATATATTATAGGAGGTAGGAACTGTTATCTTCACTGGGTCATAAAGATTTGAAGCTGAAAGGGACCTTAGAGGACATTTAATTTTTTCCCTATTTTTGCATCCCCAGTACTTGGCACATAGTAGGACTTTAATAAATATTAGATGAATGGAAAGATGCATAACAGAATGAATGAATGAGTGAAGACTCTGCCAGTAACTACCTATATGACTCTGGGCAATGTAGCTAACCAAACCACACCTTCCTCTTCTGCGCAATGACTGGAAAACAAAGACAAACGACATTGTCCTTTGAGTTCTTAACACACAGGCTGATTAAGGAGACAGACATGTAAACAGATAATATAGATAACGTGATAAAAGGCCATCATGAAGGAATCTGGAATCTAGATGAAAAATGTGAGTGTCTGTTTCCTGTTTTCCTGGTTCTCTCTCCCTCCTTCCAGCCATTGGATTAAATGTGACGTCGTTGGTATGGAGAAATTTTTCCCACACCATGTGGGTTCACAAACTGTGAGCATTTTTCTCTGCAGGGATAACCAAGCTGACAAAGACCTGGGGCTCTATGCCCAGGAAATAGCTCATGTTCACGGAAGGGAACACCTATCACTTCGAGTATAATTGCTCTGCTTTTAACTTCCCTTCTGCCTCACCTCTCATCCCCCACCACCCAAAGAGGAAGGTGAGGAGGCTTTGAGGTGGGGGCAGGGTGGCAATAAAGAGTAAAAGTGAACAGATGTGTAAATTACCCGTGAGAGTTTTTGTCCTTGATCTTTTAGGTTCTGGATCTACTTAAAAGATGGCAGGTGGGAGTGCACAGCACCTGGTCAGCCTACCTCCAGAACAAGAGCTGTGAAAAGTATTCCCCAAAAAACACGGGCCCCACTTCATGCTGCCTGCTTGCAGCCATTGCTTGGGATAAACATGGGCCTAAGGCAAATGGAATCTCTAAGTTTCATAGAAAATACAGCAGACTTTGTCAAAGCAAGATTGACACATCTCACTCCAACCCCACCCCACCAATTGCCTCAATTGGTCATCTTATTCTGTGGGTATGGAACAATTGGAGACAACAGCTTCTCAAAGTTGGATGTAATGGAGACGTACCTGAACAACAGCACCAATGGAACACTGACATCTCTCATGCCAGGTACATTAATGAGTGTTCTACAGAACTTTTATTTTTAAATGGCTCAAAAATTTTGGAATGAAGTCTGGTATCTTTTTGAGCCCAACACTTCCCACCCAAAGCTTCCCTCTGCCTGCTGATTATCATTTCCCTTAAAATTCTGACAGTAAGTACTACTGTTTACAAAGCCCTTTGTCAGCAGTTGATTTACCTTATGAGTCCCTCTATCCCGCTCAAAACTTGGAATTAATGATATTAGGGTCTCCCAGCTACCTACAAAGTATGACATCGCTGGAACCAGCAGATGTAGCTACTCAAGATAAGCCACTACAATTCATTAATAAGACAACAAGGAAAGCTCTGGAGACTTCCAGACAGAAAATGCAATGGAGACAGGCTGCCCAGAAGGGGGAGACACATATCATGAAGCCTTAAGACTCAGCTAGTCTCAATATGTTCCTGCTCACCCACCTTTCTTTCAGGCCCAGCTCTGACAATGCCTGTGCTAAACTCTGTATTTTCCAAGTCTTCAGAGAAACGAACGGCGCAAATGGCAGTGCATAAACCCAAAATTCTGCAAGTTACTTATGTTCATTTTCAAATATTTTAAAACTCAATAACAAAAATATACAACTATTTAGTTGTCAGCAATTTATAACCACCAACTGCCTTAAGTAAACGGGCAGAGTATGCTTGATGTCTTTAGGACAGAGGGAAGTGGAGGTGGAATGTGGTGAAATGGGAGAGAAGACGGGGTTGGGAGAGATTATGCATGGTCCCTATCTACCCCTGGAGCCCCAGGCCACGAGTGGTGTGCCCAGCTTTAGAAAGACAAACAGGGAAAATTCTTCCCTTTCTAATCTTCTTGATACAAACTTTCAGGGCAATCCCAGCTTTGCTGAATATACAGTATTTTAGATTGACTGGAAGAAATACTTGTGGCTTCAACATAAAAATGTTTGTCTTTCGATTTTGAGATATTTGGACATTATTTTTATTATTGGACACTACACTTCATTACCTACTAACACACTGTAAATGATACATTTTCTGGTCTCAAGCTACCTGTCCCGTTTCGTCTTCCTCACTGTGGCTATCTCATGTTGATCCTCAGATGATTCTCTAGGTTCAATCTCAGGATTAGGTTCAGTTTCTTCCTGGGGAGGCTGTTGTTCATTTCCTTGAGATACAACTAGAATATGGCTTAGGCTACTTGTCATAAAAGAGACAAAATCTTCAAAATCAGGCTAAAAAATAAAATGATAAACCATTTACTTCTGGCTCCTGAAATGCATAGACCAAAATAGCGGCCACTACCCAAGTCAAGTGACATCTTCCCCTCCATGATCATGGGCAAGGGAAGGTTATTCTTGTAATCCTCCTGTTATAAACAAATCTTTAAAGGATAGAAGTTCACAGCTAGAAAGGATTGATCTTACAGATAGTCTAATAACTATTCTCAAACTTTAGGATGCTTCCAAATCATCTGGTAGGCTTGTTAAAACACCGATTCCTCGAGTCCAATCCCAGAGTTTATGATTCAATAGGTTTAGAGTGGGGCCTAGGAACTGGATTTTCTCAAAACTTCCCAGGACGTGCTGATGTAGCTGGTCCAACCCTTTCCTTTTACATGTGTGGAAGCTGGGGCCAAGAGAGACGGTTTGAGCGGTGCTGTTAGTTTTACAAAGTGCTGTCCAGTAGAACTTGCTGTGACAACAAACATGGTCTTCTGTGTTCTCCAATACATGTAGCCACATGCAGCTATTGAGCAGTTGAAATGTGGCTAGTGCAACTAAGACTCTAGATTTTTCAGTTAATTTAATTTTCATGAATTTAAATTCAAATGGCCACATGCATCTGATAGCTACCATATTGGACAGCTCATTTCTAGAAGCTATGTCTCCTGACCCAGAAGCCAGTGTACTCTCCAATACACAACATTGCCTTTATTATATTTCCCCAGGCAAAAGGGAATTTAAGAAATAGCTTGAGAGAAAGGCCTTTAGGTAAAAAGGATTAAAGCTTGCCTGTGAAGTTTAAGACAAGGAGTCTTAACCTGGGATAAAAATCTATAGGAAAGGCCTGGATATTCACTTCCAGAGGGCTGTTGCAGAAAGTCTAAGAGGACATAACATAACAAGGTCTTCATTCCAACAAAACACAGTCAGACCACCCACTTTTGCTCGGCTGCCATTATTTCTACTGGAGATTTCTCCATAGTGGCCATCTTTGTCATTACCATGGTATGGAGACCCACAGGACATTTGGAGCTGATTTGCTTGGTCAGACTTATTCATTTGCTTTTCTATAATGAGGATGTAAAACTTACTGGAATCCACTATATCTGAAAACACAGTATTGTTTTTTTTCAACTTTCTTACCTGGTCTGCTATTCGACTATAGAAGTCCCTTACTTGTTCTTCAGTGAGCACTCTCTTATCCTCTGCTTCTATGACAAATCCTGCCTTGATAATCTTCAATTAGAGAGTAACGTTAGATCCAGACGTGTTATGGGGCCACATGTAAAACAAGTCAAGGACATTCGTTTCCTGGGCTTAGCAAACCACCCAGATTTGAATACATTTCAAGTAAAGACCTCAGCACGATCCATAGGGCACTAGGTTTGAAGAAGCTTAAAAATATATCTACAAAGAAGGCCCTTTAATGCCCCCTGGTATTTAAGTTTTCAAGGCTTGAACCAGAGACTCTGCAATATTTCTATTATTTAAGTGAATTCCTTCAAAATGTGAAAAAAGTAACTGAATTCCAAGGAAAGATATAACAGCTTTCTGAATCATTTGCAAGGATATAAATTTACAAGCACTTCTTAAACATCTATTTTCAAAATTGTTTAACTTTCTTTTTTTTAACGCTTTACTTTGTAAGACCACAACTCATAATCTAATCTATCTTACTCTTATAGTAACAAAAATATCCAAATGATAGGGAAGGATAGGATTTAAGATTTAGCTATGCTTTACTTGTCTTAAAGAAAGTTAAATTTATTGATAAATTTAGTTTGCATGTCACTCAAGTATAATAAAATGTAACAAATAGAAGTTTTGAGGTAAATATGACAAGTCCCATGAGGTACTAAACAATTAAATATAAGTGTAATCTGCATTCAAAGCAACTCAGTAATTACATTAAATGATACCAATCATTTGAGCTCACTTTGGTTTGTGAGGCCACAACCAGGTACGTCCTCCTACTCTGAAAGCAGACACCGCGCTGGTTCTATTGGCTTTGCGGATGTTGCAGAGCATTGCTCATGTCGTAGCGACCCCTCTCCTAACTGACATTCCAATTTGAACACTTTCTAAATACTCAAATCATGTCTTTGTTAAGTTACTTAGTGCCTGACAACAGAAAATAAAATCCAAGCAAAATTTAAACTTAATAACTTCTCCTTTACTATAGTTGAAAAATGCAGTGTGCCCATTTTCAAAACATTCTTTATTTTTTCTGTCCTGTTTGTTATGTAGCCTTTCACTGTATTCCAGAGAGGTGAGGTACTTAGTAGATAGTCATAATTTACATCTCTGAAATGTCATTTACTATGTCAAAACAGAAAAATTAAGATGAACTGATGATTAATAGTATTGCCTCAACTAAAAAAACTATATAATTTTGAAAATCTTCACTATCATAGCCATTAAACCATACTCAAATAAGGCACAGTAAACCATTGGTATGTAATATTATTTTTGAATACTTTATAAGGGATAAGCAATATATAGGGGACTGGGGTACAGTTTGGTGTCCCCCCCAACACACACCCCAGAATCTGATCTGGAAAAAAAAGGCTATTTTTATAGAGTGATATCAATTAAATCAACTCATAATTGGAAGAGAGAGTACACGTACCATGACCCGTGGACCATCTACTTTACTGTAGTTTAATCAATGATAGTGCCACTGTAGCTACAGGAAGAACGCAGGACGAGAAGTTCATCAAGAGAGCTCAACCCCTCCTCACCTAGCTCCCTGAGGGATCTCTGCTAGAGCACATGCAACATTCTTTCACATTTCAATATAATCTTGTTATTTCAACACAAAGTCATTGTTCAGGCGTCTGCAAGCTACAGCCAGCAGGCAAAATCTGGCCCACCACCAGTTTTTGGAAAAAAAAGCTTATTGGCACACAGCCACGCCCATTTGTTTACATACCTTCTGCTGCTACTTTCTCGATATGATGGCAGAGCCAAGCAGTCGTGACAGATCGTATGCCCCACAAACCTGAAAATAGTTACTATCTGGCCCTTTACGGGAAAGGTCCGTTGACCTTTGGATGAAAATGCAATTTTCTTCTAAAAAATTTTTTATTTTGGCTCTAAAGCAAAACATAAAATGTTTCCTTAAGCTATCATGCATCTGAAAAGGACCATACATTTGTGACAACATACAGGGAATGAAGCAAGCCAATATGCGCTTATAACAAATTTGCATTGCTAATAACTAAACACGAAGAACATCTGTTACAATTCAATATAAGAACTACAATTTTTATTATTTACATCTGATGCTGGTAGAGCAGAGTTATTTAAATAAGGATGCTTGAGTACTTCTAGCATTTGTAAAGACAAGACGTTCAAAGCCTTTAGAGGTACCTAGCACCAAAAAAGTTTATTATGTTCTATTTTACTCTAAATGATAAGCTTGTCTCTAAGTTGACAACTAAGGGGTTGTTATTTTGCAATTAATTTAAACCACTGCTGGGAAATATTACTTACTTTTTCTTTAATTTCTATATCTTTTCTAGTAATCACAGCATCAGGTTTGATAATAGCAATACTGTATAGTTGCTCTAGGAAAAAAAATAGGAGAATTTCATTTTGGGGAAACAAAGTCTAGATAATGAGGGATTGGCAAGTAGAAATGTAAACTACTAATGTCCAGTGAATTTTTGTCCATTGACAGCTTTGCTCCTGTTATGGCATTTCAACTACCAGTTTCTACTTAGAATCCAAGCGCAGTTCCTGTACTTGCATGCAGAAGAAACATTCACAAGAGTTTGTAGTCAACAGGCCCCCCCAAAAAAGTATGAGTGGGTGGGCTCTCGTTATTTTAATACAATTCACATGCAATAGAATCCTACCCATGATCCATCCAGCTCAGCATCACTGGTGAGTGGAGGTACAATGCAAGCAAACATTATAAACTGATGGATTTACCATCTATGGATTTATCCACATTTATCCACACATTCTGATGATGAGTTTTTAGTGCAAGATAGCTCACTGAGCACTCTGTTCGCCTCTGCTCCCTCTGGAGCAGTATGGACACACACTCACACACCCACACAGAAAATCCAGTGAAGGCAGGAAATTGTTAACCGTAAAGTAAACCAGGAGTGTGGGTCATCAAGGAAGAAATTATTTTCACAAGTTTTTGGAAGATGATGAAGGATGAAATAAGAGGAAGCTGCTGTCCAGATTAGTCACAGGGGACAGAAGCCCCTCAGAGACCAAAGGGAAGGCATGGGGAGCAAAAGAGGTTGCTTTTTTTTTGAGGAAGATTGGCCCTGAGCTAACATCTGTTGCCAATCTTCTTTTTCTTTTTTCTCCCCAAAGACCCAGTACATAGTTGTATATCCTAGTTGTAGGTCCTTCTAGTTCTTCTATGTGGGACGCCACCCTAGCATGGCCTGACCAGCAATGAGTAGGTCTGCACCCAGGATCCGAACTGGCCAACCCCAGGCCAACGAAGCAGAACTTGCAAACTTAACCGCTACACCACCAGGCCGGCCCCAAGAGGTTGCTTTTTAATAGCTGAGTCTACTATCGACAAATCACTATTTATCTTACCAGCCTCTTATCAATTAGCATTGATGTCATTACCAGCATTTTGCTACTGCAAGTGATACTGTAATGAACATCCCTGTACACAAATCCCTTGGCATTACCTTAGTAAATTTACTTACCAACATGTTCATAGGGTGCTTCCCCAGCATCTTCCGAATCTGAGTCTACAAGTGCAATTTCATGATACTATGGAAGAGAAAGGCAAATAAAACAGTTCTATTTTTTATCATAATGAAAGAGTTTTTAGAAATTTTGTTTCTAATAAATATTTATAATCCAAAGGATAGAAGGTAAAGTGAAAATGTGCCTGCAGTTACCTAACACTACTTTTCCTAAGCTTTCCTCTGAAATAAAATAAGGAATATTTAAAACAGGTGGGATGAGGAGACTATCTGAAATAATGCATGCATGCTATATGGAAAATAGTTAAAACAAAAAATCTTAAAACTTAAGAAGAGTACACAGAATAAAATAAGAAAGAAGCAGAGATTAGCAAGTAAGAAAGCAATAAACACATAATTATCATGTTAAAGATCCAAAGGGCATTCGAAAAGTTTCAAGATCCATGCCTGACCATTACTCTTAGTAAATTAGGAACAGCAAGATACCTCCTTAACTCATAAAAAATGTCTTGCTCAAAACAATAGCCAATTTCCTACTACGTAGTAAAACACTAGGAAGAACGGGGCAGGGGTGGGTCTTAATTTCTTAGGAAGCCCTGGAAGCGCTTCTGTGATTCTGTGAACTGCCTAAAAGGTGTATATATTTACATATGTACATTTTTTGGCAAGAGAATCCATGACTTCAGATTCTCAATGGAATAAAGACCCAAAAGTGTTTGGAAATAACTATACTGAAAGCACGCGCTCTTATTATAATCAGAAATAAGATAATTATACCGGCTATAACCTCAAATTGACCGACTTAGTATTTGCTGGACCTGCTCTGGCCAATAGGGCAGCACTTACCACTAAGGCTATCTGAGCTCTTGAAATGCGGTCACACCAAATTAAGATGCGCTGTAAGTGAAAAATACACAGCACATTCCAAAGATTTTGTATGAAAAAATGAATGTTGCATACCTTATTTTTCATGTTGAGTACATCTTTAAATGGGAATCTTTTGAATATACTGGATTAAATAAAAGATGTTTTTTAAAATTAATTTCAACTGTTACTTTTTTAGTGTCTGTAATGTGACTCGTAGAATATTTTGAATTATGCATGTGGCTCACATCGTGGCTTCTATTTTATTACTATGGGACAGGGCTATGCTAGACAAGGCAATTAGATAAGAAAGCTAAATAACAAGTGTGCAGCAAAACGGAATAATGTAACATAAACGTAAGATATTAATACATGTCATATATCTCTGTTATTAATTAAAACAGGATATCATTCTGCAAGAACAGCAAGAACAACGAGAACCACAACAATCAAACCATGGAACAGAGCACACGTAGAGAAAGCTGGATAGAACATCGCAAGTAAAAGAATATGTTTAGGAGTCACTCCGCCTGACTTCAAATTCTGGTTTCACCACCCACTAGCTGCCTGTTTCTGGGGAAATGACTTAAATGTTTTTAAGCTTTAACTTATCATTTGTCTCATAAGATTTCTTGAGGTTCCAGTTCAAGATGGCAACATAGGAGGCTTCTGAACTCACCTCCTCCCACATACACACCAAATCTACGGCTACATACAGTACAATTCCCTCTGAAAGAGATCCAGAAAATAGCTGAGTGCCTCCTACACATTAGGCAAATGAGGAAAAACCCATACTGAAATGGGTAGAAGAGGTTGAGACACAATCTTGTCATAAACTCCACCCCTGGCACAGCGATATACAATCCAGAGGGAACTCACAACTCCCAGCGTCTCCATGAGTGAAGGGTTTGGACCCAACATCTAGTACCCCAAATTTTAAGACTTCCAACTAAGAGATGGGGCCCCAAAATGCCTTGTTCTGAAAGCCAACTGGGACTTGGGAGACTGTAGTAAACAAACAGTTCTTAAGAGGCTTGTGAGGACTTGCTGTGGTGATCCTCCCAGGGCTCAGTGCACAGGCAGCAGACCCAAACACCCAGTTTTTCCCAAAAAGAGGCCTATTTGGAAATTTTAAAGCTATAGCCTGAGGGTCTGGCTCCTACTTTAACACAGATCTAGGGGCCAACTGCAATCCTCTCCTGAGAGGGGGAGGCCAGCAGGTGCCATCTTCATGTTCTCCCTC